CTGAGCAGCCCATTAAACATTGTTTCAGATATATATGATATCAAAGATTGTTCACCACACATCACTAAGTGAAAACAGAAAGTTGAAACATGTATGGAACAAGCCAAATTTCATTAAAAATACACACACACACACACACACACAGAGTAGAAATCTGGAACAGTATAAATCCAAGTGTTGAAATGGCTATCTCTTGGGGATAGTATGGTTTAGACTTTTATATATAACTGTATTTTAGGGGGTACCTGGGTGGCTCAGTTGTTAAGTGTCTGCCTTTGGCTCAGGTCATGATCTCAGGGTCCTGGGATCAAGCCCCGCATCGGGCTCCCTGCTCAGCGGGAAGCCTGCTTCTCCCTCTCCCACTCCCCCTGCTTGTGTTCCCTCTCTCGCTGTCTCTCTCTCTGTCAAATAAATAAAATCTTTAAAAAAAAATAATAACTGTATTTTTTCCTTTTTTAAGATGTGTTTTAAAGATTTTATTTATTTATTTGAGAGAGAGAGAATGAGAGAGAGTGAGCATGAGCAGGGGGAAGGGCAGAGGGAGAGGGACAGAAGTAGACTCTCCCATAAGCAGGAAGCCCAACATGGGGCTTGATCCCAGGACCCTGAGATCATGACCTGAGCCGAAGGCAGATGCTCAACTGACTGAGCCACCCAGGCACCCCTATATAACTCTATTTTCAATGATATGTATTACTCTTGTAATAAGAAAAAATTACAAGATTTTTTAATGTCTTTTTTTTTTTTTAAGATTTTATTTATTTGACAGAGAGACAGTGAGAGAGGGAACACAAGCAGGGGGGAGTGGGAGAGGGAGAAGCAGGCTTCCCGCCAAGCAGGGAGCCCGATGTGTGGCTCGATCCCAGGACTCTGGGATCATGACCTGGGCTGAAGGCAGACGCTTAACGACTGAGCCACGCAGGCGCCCCCAAATTACAAGATTTTTTAAAAAGGTATCAGAGATGAAAGGATACCAAAAGATTTTTTTTTAAGAAAAGCAATTGCACTACTGCGTATTTACCCCAAAGACACAGATGTAGTGAAAAGAAGGGCCATATGCACCCCAATGTTCATAGCAGCAATGTCCGCAATAGCCAAACTGTGGAAAGAGCTGAGATGCCCTTCAACAGATGAATGGATAAAGAAGATGTTGTATATATATATATACACAATGGAATATTACGCAGCCATCAGAAAGGATGAGTACCCAACTTTTATATCAACATGGATGGGACTGGAGGAGATGATGCTAAGTGAAATAAGTCAAGCAGAGAAAGTCAATTATCATATGGTTTCATTTATTTGTGGAACATAAGGAATAGCATGGAGGACATTAGGAGAAGGAAGGGAAAAATGAAGGGGGGGAAATCGGAGGGAGAGATGAACCATGAGAGACTATGGACTCTGAGAAACAAACTGAGGATTATAGAGGGGAGGGGGGTGGGGGGATGGGTTAGCCTGGTGATGGGTATTAAGGAGGGCACGTACTGCATGGAGCACTGGGTGTTATACGAAAACAATGAATCATGGATCACCACATCAAAAACTAATCATGTATTGCATGGTGACTAACATAACATAATTTAAAAAATAAATAATAAATAAATAATAATAAAAAGAAAGAAAAATACTTTTTTTTTTTTAGAGAGGGAGGGGGTGGGGCAGAAGAAGAGAGAGAATCTTAAGCAGGCTCCATGCCCAGGATGGAGCCCAATGTGGGGCTCGATCTCACCACCCTGAGCTCATGATCTGAGCTGAAGTCAAGAGTCAGACACTTAACTGACTGAGCCACCCAGGCACCCCCAAAAGATTTTTTTTAATTTCACTGAAATAGGCCTGTAGTTTCCATTTAACAAATATACCAGATAAAACTGATGGGGGAGTTTTTATGTATAAATTACCAGTATATTTACTTAAAACACTTCATACTTCTTTTATACAACTGCATTACACTTAGTGTGCAGCTCAATAAATACTTGTTGAATCATCTAGTGTAAAATTTTTATAAGTGATTTATTTATTTATTTTTTAAAAGATTTTATTTATTTGAGAGAGAGAGAATGAGAGCAAGCACATGAGAGGGGGGAGGGTCAGAGGGAGAAGCAGGCTCCCCGCCGAGCAGGGAGCCCGACGTGGGACTCGATCCCGGGACTCCAGGATCATGACCTGAGCCGAAGGCAGTCGCTTAACCAACTGAGCCACCCAGGCGCCCCTTATAAGTGATTTAGATAAGGGAGCACACAGAGACGTCCCTGGCTTACACATGACAGTTAAGTTCCTCTGTTTATATTTCAATCACATTTGACACTGTTCACCACCACCTTGTTCTTGAAACTCTCAAGACTTCTACCACAGTGCCTTCGCCTAGTTACCCTCCCATCTCAGTGTCCACTAATCTCTTACTGTGGTGAAGATCCTCTTCCTCCTCTGAACTGTGAGCTTCCCCCCAGCCCCCGCCACCAACCTGGTCCTCAGCTCTCTGCATTCTTCTTTCCATGCTCATTTCCTTGGTGAGTTCACCTGCAGTCACGGCATCATCACCCGTCACTCAATGTAGATAATTTCGGGTGGAACATGACCTTGTTCCACTGGGTGTGGGCGTGTGTGCTGTCACTGCTACATATAAAAGGTATTTTGGTGTTATGCAACGGTAACGATCAGAATTTTACACAGCTCCCCAAGGAAAAGACTGCCTGGAGGATCTGAGGAAGAGTTGTTGGCATCAGTAGCCATGAATTCCTTCCCCCTCTTCATAAAGTAAACCAAATAAAAATACATAAATACTAGAAAAGTGAGCAAAGCATGTCTTTGAAATTCTCAAGTAATGGTATACCTTGTTTGCAGGAAGGAAAAAACTAAGTAAATGAATTAATTGGCCAACAGAAGATTTTTTTTTTTAAGGCTCTAGATTCTACATTTATAAAACTCACTTAAATGAAGAAAGCACACATTTTTATTTTTTTATTTTATTTATTTTTTTTAAAGATTTTATTTATTTATTTGAGAGAGAGAGAATGAGAGAGAGAGCACATGAGAGGGGGGAGGGTCAGAGGGAGAAGCAGACTCCCTGCTGAGCAGGGAGCCCGATGTGGGACTCGATCCAGGGACTCCAGGATCATGACCTGAGCCGAAGGCAGTCGCTTAACCAACTGAGCCACCCAGGTGCCCCAGCACACATTTTTATTAATCACACCTTTGTTTTATTATTTTGCTGGTAGTCAGTCCTAGTCAGCTGATCACATTACTCTTGTGGCCTCAGTTTCAAGACAAACCTTCTAACTCCCTCCCTCCCCTTCCAATCAGATTTCTGCCCTTAAACTTTTCATATATGAATCTGCAAGCTACAGGGGACATGCAAATTTATTATTTAGACCTACAGTATATTAATCATAGGTCCTGAAATAATTTAAGGGCTATAGGCATTCCTCAGACCCAATACACAGAACAAAGAGGTTATAGACTTTTGGAATAGGAAGATAGAACTTTTTATTAATTTTTGACTAATCCCAGCAGGAAAGAAAGCACATGTTAGCAAGCTCCACAGAATATTACTCCATAGAAAAGGTTATCAAAACCCTTATGGCCATGAGCAAGACTAGGCCCAGATAGTAGCTAGGAATAGCAATAAAAGCCAAGATTTGTTGAAGGGTAGAATAAACCTTTAACATCTAGCTAATAAATAAGCTTCAGTGGGGTGCCTGGGTGGCTCAGTTGGTTAAGCGTCTGCCTTCAGCTCAGGTCATGATCCCAGGGTCCTGGGATCGAGCCCCATGTCGGGCTCCCTGCTTGGTGGGGAGCCTACTTCATCCTCCCCCTGCTTGTGCTTGTTCTCTCTCTCCCTCTCTCTGTCAATAAATAAACAAAAAATCTTAAAAAAAAATAAAAATAAATAAATAAGCTTCAGACAAGCAAAACAGGAGAAAAGGAGATGGTTGAAAACAAAACTTCTAAGGGTCAGAGCCACTAACACCCTAGATATCTGTAGTTTTGGGCCATACTCTGTGGTGACTGCTTATTAGGGCGGTACGTAAAGAGGCAGCATCTGGGGCTTGCCAGCCATGCATAGGGGTTATTAGAAGTATGTATATATGGTGGGGCGCCTGTCAGTTAAATGTCTGTCCTGGGATCAAGCCCCGCATCGGGCTCCCTGCTCAGCAGGAAGCCTGCTTCTCTCTCTCTCCCACTCCCCCTGCTTGTGTTCCCTCTCTCGCTGTGTCTCTCTCTGTCAAATAAATAAATAAAATCTTTAAAAAAAAAAAAAAGATATAATCAAATATAGGATTGGAGACAAAAAACAAACTGTTGTTTTTTTTAAAAAACCAAAGTCTGGTCACTGTATCTCAATAGTAACAGGAGCATGAGATCACTTACTATGGTTTTCTATCTGTATAGTTATAGCACTTCATTGCACAATAGCTGGCCATATGAAGCCGATTCCCTTTTCTCTATAGATCAGTGGCCCTTTGTGGAAAGTGGTTACTGCTCTATCATACAGTGAGATTAAATGTTTTCTTTTTTCTTTTTTTTTTTAATTTTTTTTTTTTAAGATTTTATTTATTTATTTGAGAGAGAGAATGAGATAGAGAGAGAGCGTGAGAGGGGGGAGGGTCAGAGGGAGAAGCAGACTCCCGGCCGAGCAGGGAGCCAGATGCGGGACTCGATCCTGAGACTCCAGGGTCATGACCTGAGCCAAAGGCAGTCGCTTAACCAACTGAGCCACCCAGGCTCCCTAATACAGTGAGATTAAAAAGATTGACAAGGATCTGAAATAATCCTTTCAAATGAGGAATCAGAGAGAAAGGCAGTAACATTTCCTTGACTGTTTCATGCATACAATGGATGCTCACTAAAACACCACCTCTCCACTGAAATGTAAACTCCATGGCGCAAGGACACTGTCTAGTGTGCTCATTACTGTATCCCCAGTGCCTGACATGCAGTACATGACTGATACCTATTTTACTAATGAATAGTTAATAAATATTAGATGAAGACAACAATACAGAGAGCAAAAGTTTAATATTTCTATTCTACAGTATATCCTTTTTTAAGAGGATCACCTTTATTTCAGATTCTTTCCTTCTTACTGTGTCTGTCATACAGTGAGGAAAGGCAAAGGAAATGATCAAAATGGATAATAAACATAAAAAGACCTAACAAAAGGTAAAACTATAATATTTCTAGATACAGAAGAAAACACAGGAGAAAATCTGTGACTTTGGTGTAAGCAAAGATTTCTTATGAAGGGCACAAAAAGCATTAACTGTACAAGAAAAAAAAAGTAAGAAATTAAACTTCACCAAAATTTAAAACGTTTGCTTTTCAAAAGACACCATAAAGAAAAAAAGGCAAGCCACTAACTAGAGGGAATATTTTCAATTCACATACTCACATATACTCACAATTCATAGACTCACTTGTATCCAGAATATATAAAGAACTCTTATAGCAACAGACCACATGCCAATTTTTTAAATGGGCAAAAAGATTTAAATAGACTTCACCAAATATGAGATACTGGTGACAAATTAGGACATGAAAAGATGTTCAGTACCATTAATCGCTGGGGAAACGCAAATGGAAGCCACAATGAGATATCACTTCACACCTACTAGAATGATTTTAAAAACTGACAATACCGAGTGCTGATGGGGATGCAGAGCAACTGGAACTCTCACAAGATGCTGGTAAGTGTAAAGTGTACAGGCATTTTAGAAAACAGTTTGACACTTTTTTCTACAGTAGGTTAAATATTCACTTAATACAAGTCCTAAAATTTCACTCCTAAGTATCTATCCAAGAAGAATGCAAACATATGTCTACAAAAAGACTTGATATGAATGTTCACAGCAGCTTCCAAAAAGTGGAAAACAACCTAAATGTCCATCAGCAGAAGAATGGATAAACTCAGCATCATTAATCACTGGGGAAGTAATCGTGGTATATACAACAATGAAATAAGGCTTAGCAATAAAAAGGGATGGACTACTGATATACACAAAAACATGAATGGAAATGAAAAACATAATGCTGAGTTAAAGAAGCCAAGAACAGGACACACACTGTATGATTCCATTTATATGAAGCTCTACAATAGGCGAAACTACGGTGATAGAAATCTGATCAGTGGATGTCTACAGCGGGGTGATGGGAGACTGCAAAGGATAACAAGGGAATTCATGGGGGAGGGTAACAGAAATTTCTACAATCTGGGAAGATGATATATAGGTGCCAATATCTGTCAAAACTCACTACATTGTACACTTAAAACACATACATCATCTTGTTTGTAAATTATATTTCCATAAAGTTGAAAAAACAATTATTTTGCAACAGTTAAGAAGTTAAGTCTTTTTTGTTACCAATAGTGGCTGGCCAGCAAATCATTACAGAGGTTAAGCAGCCCATGGGTAGTATAGAATTATCCTTGGTCCATCAGTCTTCTGCAACATACTAGAGGAATGGATTCTCTGTCCAGTGGAAAGGAATGCCTTAGGGAATTTGTTTTCCAATTCATAAAAGTTAGAGTGTGAATTTGCACACCCTCTTGTGATTAACCCAATCAAGTCGATTTTTAAAGGATTTATTTATTTATTTATTTATTTATTTATTTATTTGAGAGAGACTGAGAGTGAGTGGGAGGGAGAGAGCATCTGAAGCAGAGTCTGTGTTGAATGCAGAGCCCGACGCAGAGCCTGATCCTAACTACCTTGAGATCATGACCTGAGCTGAAACCAAGAGTCAGACCTTTAACCAACGGAGCTACCCAGGTGCCCCTTACCCAAGTCAAACTTTTAAAATATCAGGCCTAAACAATGATAACAGTTGAAGAAAGCTATTTTTTATCAGAAGGTTAATGCTTCAAAAATAAAGAATTCCCACTGTAGCAAAACAAAACACTTCTAATACATACTCTGACTGGGGTCTGGACCTTCCAAAGAGGGTGAAGAATCACCTGGTATGTGTGTTGGCAGGAACACACACACACACACGAAATGGGCAGAAATGCCTCCTTGGCCACACTCTATATGGCATAGGGGAAGAATAGCTCCACCATCAGAGAGGCAGGTTGTTAGAAGAGCCAGATGGATAGTTTTTATTTGTAACTTGACTTATAAGTGTTTATTATGATCATTTTTTTAAATGGCTGGGCACTGAAAAAGCTTTTGTGTAAACACAGGAAGGGCAGAAAGCAAAGTAAAACCTGCCACCTGCCCTCTCTACCTGCCCTGTCTTGCACTTCTCCCCCTCATCCCCTTAAATCACTGCACCTCAATCTCCAGTAAATGCTAAAACCACACCAGAGGACTTGGGTTAAGACAAAAGTAAAGAAAGATCTAGGATGGAGGTATAGGTAAGAAGTGAGGGGAGGGATGATGAATTCAGTGGATGTTTGTCCTTTCTAGTTCCCAGCGTCCATGCCCCCTTCCTAAGAGTACTCTGATGTCATTTCAAGTAATTAACTCCCCTGTGTACACCTTTGTTGGGAGAGGAAAATCAAAAGTTTTCCCTCCCTCCACCAAAACCAAGGACTTTCTCTGGGGGTGGGGGGTGCTCCTTCTCCCAGACCCTTTCTCTCTATATCCGATAGAGCCATTGGGCCCTTGATTTAAGCTTAGCCAATCAAATGATCTCTTGGCACTTGACTTCTTTAGCAGAGTGATGCAAGAAGCAAAGAAATGGTTGGCAGTGGATCTAGGCAAGACAGTTTAGCAGTTCCTTCTCTGTCATCTCTAAGCTTGCTTCCTCAGGTTTCCCTTCCACCCTGTGAGGCTCTCCTCTGTGGAGAAATAAATATTTTAAGTCGCCCCCCTTCCTCCACTATCCCCCACTGTTCTTCAATCCCCCTCCTTAGAGTTAACATCTGTTATCAGTTTGGTATATTTTCTTCCAGAAAAGTTCTACACATCCCATTCTTGTTTTTAAACAAATGCATGTATGTGTCATAAAAATTGGACATGATCCATATTGTTGTGCAACTTGCTGTTTATGAGCTATAATCTTCTCTTTTGTATCTTCTCATCACCTGATTAAAACTGTACACACAAAAATTCTGCCAAAATTGGTGTTTAGAAGTAGGGTGGGACTCAGTTAATCTCACTGTTCTATATAGCCCCTTAATTACCCATAATATGATGGATTTGGGCAAAAGTTCAGCTAGTTGAACAATGAGAATCCTAAAGAATACTAACAATGTGTCAAGCTGAAAAGTTCTTCTAGGCAATATAGAGAAGGTTCTTTTTTTTTTTTTAAATATTTTATTTATTTGTCAGAGAGAGAGAAGAGTACAAGCAGGGGGAATGGCAGGCAGAGGGAGAAGTAGGCTCCCCACTGAGCAGGGAGCCTGATGCGGGACTCGATCCCAGAATCCTGGGATCATGACCTGAGACGACTGAGCCACCCAGGCATCCCTAGAGAAGGTTCTTAAGCAGGGAAATCCCGTGATAAAGACAATGTTTCAAGAAGAATAACATGGCAACCATGTATATAACATAGACCAGAAGAAGAGATTAGAGAGCAGGGAGACTGATAGTTCAGGGGCTAACCTGGAGGATAGATCTGAAGAAATAAAATTCAGAATTACAGTGGGGCCAGAGAAATGGAGAGAAACTTTACCGAATTACAAGAAGTTAGACTAGTAGAGCAAAGACTAGGATTAGAAGGGCTAAATTTGAATTCCAACTCTGAAATTTATTAGCTGTGTGGCTTCTGGCAAGACACTTCCCTGCTCCTTATCTCAGTTACTCTGTCAGTAAAATGAAGAACTTAGAATATCAGGGCTTTTACAGTTTTTTCCCCCCAGTGGAACCCTTTTTTTCTAGGGGAAAAACAAGGCAAGATTGTTTTGGCTGAAGCATAGGTAAAGGGCTTAGAGCCTCAGCTAGCCTCCATTTCACTTCTCTCAGCCACCTCTGAGGCATTTTTGAGGAATCTCCGAAGGACTAGGGAACAACATTTGAGAAATTTCTAAAGATTCTACTACCGACTCTAATATTCAATGACTCAAGGAGGTAAACTTGGCAGATGTGCCTAGGAAAACAGTAATGACTTTAAGAGTTGCCACAAAATCATATAATAGGGTAAATTGACCTCCAATAAATTTGCCTGCTTTTCTTTCCAGGCCAACTCAATTTAATGTCCCAAATCTCATCCAAACCTTGTGCAAGCAGTAATCTAAACTCCATATAAACAATACAGTCACAAATATTTCACTGCCTAACAATACAGTTCATTCCAACTTGAGATCCACCAACTAATCAAAGATTCTTTCTTACTGAACCGAAGTCTGTCCCTCTATCACTGTCATCTGAAATAAAGGTGCTTATTCTACCTTCTGGACCTAAAGCAAGTAAATCTAGCCCCTCCTCCATAGGAGAATCCTTCAGCTGTTTGAAAAGAGCTATCAAGTCTCCCTTATCACCCTTTATTCTCTCTTGCTCTGACCTGCCAAGATGCTCCACGGAGGTAGCCTGCTCTAGTTCTGGTTCAATTCAACATTTTCTAAGCATCTAAGTGCTTAGATGTACAAGTAGATTTTTATTTACTCATGGCTTTAAAGACTTAATCAAACCAGATGATCTTCCTTAAAACAAATGACTAGCTTAATGGTGAAAGGTAAATAGAACTCAAACTCATTATCTGGTAACTATTCTTTTCTTGCTAAACATTAGCTGCTCCCAGTTTATCAGAAGTAGATTGCTAAGTCTTTTGACCCAAAGCTAATTGTGAAAATATCTATCCAGGGATCCAAAAAGATCTAAGACTCAAGGTCCACTGAGGCAACTATAGATAATAAATAAATTAAGTATCCTGACTTCAAAACCTGTAATCTCATCATCTCTCAGGGGAATATAATTCTCACCAGTATAAAATTCAATTATCACCAAGGTGACACAGAATATCATCAATGTTAATAAGAAAACTTCATTCGCCATTCTCCATGCCACCCACTGCATGTTCCACCACAGGTCTGTGGCTTGGGCCTGGGTATCTGCCAGTCAGGGTAGTTTGGGGATGGGAAGTAGAAAGTATGACAGAGTCCCTAAGGAGAAATCAAGCCAGTATAGCCACAGTCCATGATGCTTATGGGAGCGTAGAGCTTTTATGGTTTCCTGTGCTCCAGTTGTCCTGGTAACCTGAGGCCTCCCTATTTTTGTTGGCATCATGGGGCCAAGAGCGGAAGCAAAGCTGGAGCACCAGCAAGATTTGCAGGAAAAAAATGTGGGTAATGCAGCAGTTATGCCACAGGAGGGTCAAGCCCAGGGCATAAGAATTACCTGGTTAGGGGAGAAGAGGGAGTAGTGTCTTGTAAAAATCAGATTTCCAGATTCCACTTGCAATGTTTCTGATTCAACAGGTCTAGGATGAGCTCAAAAACCTGCAATTTTAAGAAGCTACCTCCTACCAAGTAAGACAAAGACCACACTTTTGAAAAACGAGGCTAAGCAAACAAATCAGGAGTCAGAGAGAAAAAGTATAAACATCTGTCAACTTCAGAAAGCCCATATTCTAGCACAGTTCTCAACATGAGCAGGGGCGGGGTGGGAGGGGATGATAGATTTTGCCTTCCAGGTAGGTATTTGGCAATGCCTGGAGACATTTTTGGTTGTCACAGTGGAGGTCGGGATGCTCCTAAACATCCCATAGTTCACAGGACTGGCCCCCAACAACAAAGGATTATCTAGCCCAAAACATCAGTGCCATGGTTGAGGATATTCTGCCCCTCAACACCAACATGCCCATTCCACAGAAATTAATGCTACATACACAGTTTTGGTCATAGTACAGAGAATTATGTGAGGTCCCCTGGAAAAAAATGAGACCCCAAAAATCACTTTAAAAAAAAATAGTGAATGTTATTAAAGATATGGATAAGGAAGAGACTAGAACAACAGACACTAGGGGCGCCTGGCTGGCTCAGTTGGTAGAGCATGTGACTCTTGATCTCAGGGTCCTGAGTTCAACCCCCACGTTGGGCATGGGGCCTACTTAAAAACAAAAACAAACAAACAAAAATTAGAACAACAGACAATGAAGGGAAGTAGGTATGGACAATGATGGTAAGCCAAGAAGGAAATCAAGGGAGGACAAGGCATTGGGTGACAACAGTGGGCAATGAATGCCATTCCCTCAATGGATGCAGCCTCTCTCCACACGCAGAAGATTGGTAAAGAGAAATCTATTAAAAATAACATAAGCAAAAAAACAAAAAGGAAAGGAAAATGGATAAAGGAAATGTGAAGAAGGAGCTTTAGGATACATCAAGCATAGATCTGGAGTGAAAGAAGACAATGGAGATTCTTCTGTAAAAGAATACTAAAGACTCTTCAGCAATGATAAGAAAACAGAGGACTCCTAGAAGGAGGTCAGGAATTATGTGAGAAAGGAAAAAAAAAAAATTATGATGATCTTCTAGCCCTAATTTCCCCCCACCCACCTTCACCCCAAGAAAGATAGGTCCGAAAAAAGTTCTTTGCTTTTATTGAGCAGACATAATGAAAGGGAAGGGAAGCTGAAGAAAGAGGAGCACACCTGAGAACTCTTCTCAAAGGAAAAGAGGGTGGTGCTCAAAGAGAATAGAGAAGTAAGGCTCAAAGAGAGGGAGAAAAGATGTTTTGGGGAAAGAAGAGAAAAGATGAGGGAGAGATCTGGTAGCCACTTGAGGGAGAGGGACTTTAGGGACTCTTTCTCTTTAGGAAAGAGAAATTAAAGGAGAACTTTTTTTTTTTTTTTTTTAAGCACTGCTTTTGGGATATGAGAGATGAGATACAGCCTTCATCTTCTACACCTTCCAAGGAATCTTCAGTAAAATCTGACATTATTCATCAGGGCTTTGGGGATTGGGTCTGCATCTTTTCTCAGTTGTGACAATAGGTACTGGCCTTTAGACAGATCAAGAGCCCAGTTACACACATTTTTACCATGTTTGACATGACCAGAAGATTTCTGGAGCAGCCAAAAGACAGCCATATGACAATAAACTAACTCCCAGGGTTTAGAGCTGTACTAACACAAGTCACTCACCTCATGGGGCTATTTAAATTTAAATTAACTAGAATTTAAAATTTCATTTCTTAGTCACACTAGCTATATTTCAAGTGCTCAAAAGCCACATGTGGCTAGTGGCTAGGGATTAGACAGGACAGGTAGAGAACATTTCCATCATCACAGAAAGTTCTATTGGACAGTGCTGTAGTAAAGAAGAAAGCTTAGACAAATAGCTAACAAAAAACGAACCTTTTAAAATCTTTAAAGAGCTGCCACATTGAAAAACAAGTAGATTTTTTTCCATGTTGTTTCAAAAAGTAGAATTAAGGGGGGAAAATGAGATGCCATAACATGACAGATTTCAGCTTAACAACCCTCTAGTAGCTAAAGCCAGATAACAGTAGAATGGGCAGCCTCTGACCACAAGAGGAAGTAACCCATTTCATTCAGTAGAGATAGTCAAGCAAAGACCTACCTGATCATCTTTCAGAAGTAACGAAGAACTAGACGCCTTCTAAGTATCTAGTTCTGAGTCTGTAATTTTAAGAGAGCAATTTCCAAATAAGATAAAAGTAGAGTCATAAATAGAATTTCAAAAGTCACTCCTGCCACAAGCAGATCGTAGAGCAGGCAGGAACAATGAAAACATATAAGTGGACAGGGAATTTAGTCAAAATTAATGGTGGTTAGTTAGGGGTTAATTATTGGTGGTATGGGCTATCATGAATTACACGAACTTGTTAAGAATGGTACCAATGGTTCAGAGACAAGGTAGGAAAACTTCAACATAGGTTATTAATGGAAACTCAACCAGAGTTGAAATCAGTACTAGAACCAGAGGATCTTTTATATTCTCTGCCAGAGAGAACACCAGGCTAAGCATAGCAATTGAATGTTCTTGGGACTCTGGCCCCTCCATCCCATTCTCCTGCCATTCACCACAGTCTTATTTGTCATCTCTCTCAACTCCTGAAACTCAGTCTCCTTCATGTGATCTCATCATCTGCACAGGAACAGCTCCTCTCATCCTTCTCATCTCAATAGAGAATGCCAAAGGATGAGGTCTCTTAACTTTCTATTCTATCTATGAACTTAACCCATCCTCATCTTGCACCCCAAAATGTACTTGGCTTGATTATAATGAAACATACTGAATATATATTCATATACATGTACTGACTTGTTATATTATTTGTGCATTTTAGTGTATATGTGTACGTGAGAGAATTCACGCACACACATGCAGTAACATCCATTGTTGGTAAGCACTGAGGAATCTGGCCCCAGAATTGTGAAATTCACTCTTTAGTGGCTAGCACAACACCAAGCTTAAGTGGGGTCATTCAATGGACTCTACAATTGACCATGTCACGCTTCTGGATGCAAAATACTGGAAGAAGAGACTGAAGTAGATGTAAATTTGAAAACTCTTATTCTTGTAGGAAAAACAGTGGAAACATAAGCATCTTAGAGGAAGAAGAGCTTAATCCTAAGGGGAAGGTTGAAGCCTTGGTGAAAGCAAGCATAACAGGGTTTACAAACAGTCCAGAATCAGAAAAAGGTGAGAAGAGGAAGGAAGACAGAAGAAGATCATGCAGAATAAATAAAATCCAACCTTTAAAAAAAAAAAAAAAAGGTCTTATCAAAGAGAAAGGCAGAAAAAGGAAGATTTCAACAAGAGTGTTAAAGATGGAAAAGAGCCAGAGAGGGCTGTGGGCTTAAAAAAAAAAAAAAAAAAAAAAATCAATGAAGAAGTAGTGGTGTATGTTGGCAAAGAGAAGTGTAGAGTTAAGGGAAGGGAGAGAATTTATGGTAGAGGAAGTTGGTGTGAAGTTTTCCTCTAAAGATGCCCAGCAGAGCAAAGGAGGAATGAAGGCAAAAGCCACTGGGAATAAGGTAGAGCTGGGCCTGAAACAGCACAGGAGAAAGCAACAGGGCCCAAAGTAGGAAATTATTTTCTTTTTTTTTTTTAATTAACTGACCCAGATTTTCTTGTCTGGGGCCAAAGGCAACTGCAGGATTTAAAGATCTTTAAAATAAATTATAAAGATCCTACTCCCTGCAATTGCCTTTGGCCCAAAATAAAATAAACTATAAAGATCATGACAGAATTAGTGTCAGTTTCTGAGAAAGTACAAAATACCATTGTAGAGTTAATTTTAGCAATCAGGCTAATAAATGCTGTTATAGTAATGCTACTGTGAATAAAACACCTTTAGCTTTCTCTTTTTATCAGCTACGGGGTAAAAACAGAAACTTTGTAGTTACATGTATGTCCACAGAAAATAGTAAGTAACTTAATATATACTTAAAACCGAGTTATTTGTCTTTATATACTGTAGCCTATTGCCCCACCCCAAGAAATGTTTTACTTGGTTCACGATTCATAGGACAGGTTAAAGGGCTACACAGAAAAAAGCTAAGGTTAAAAATAAAGACCATAAGATGAGGGAGGGGGAAATGAGATGTGTTGTGCTGATAACAGAAATGGGGCATTAGAAACACAGAATTCACTCAAGTCAGCAAGGGGAAAATGGCACAAAAGCATGACAATGCCATACAACTAATCTTGATAGCCTCACTGAGGGTTCCAAATCAAATATTGAACCAGATTTTTCAACTTTTCTATTTTTAAAACATCAACATTTAATCGTTTGATAAATGCAGTTATATGATTTTAAATGACTATTAAAATTAGCACATCAATGCCTAATTCTTTGGCAAAGGCCAAATGGCAGGCAGTAATGTTAGACACATATAACCTCGCCCTTAAGTCACTCACTGCTCTTCTTTCTCAGAGGCCGTGGATTGCACCTGCAAGGCCAGATCCCAAATCCTCAGGCCAGCATTCAAAGCCTTTAATGACATAGCCACAACAATACCTATCTAACCCTAAATCCCGCTACCCCCAAAACCTAGCCTCCACTGTCCGAGCGCACAGACCTCTGGACAGACCTTATCTCTGGGGTCTGGCCATTTCCACCTTCCTACCTGGTGTGGAAGTCTCCTTCCATCTACAGGTTCTGGCTCGCCAAGGCCTACACTGGCGCTGCGGTCCTCCCGCACTCCAGTCCGCTGCGCTCTCGCTCCGCAGCCCCGCACTCCGCCCCTCCCTGGGGCGCCTGCACCACCTCACCCACTTGCCGTTTTGCCCCGGGGCCCCTTTCCCTCCCCTAGGCCAGCTCTCTGGGGCCTTCTCCCTGCCCTCCCACCCCAAAATTCTCCCAAGGGACATTCCCCGCCTGCCTCCAGTCACAGACTGTATTCGGTGTCTACTAGGGGGTTCGCGCCTGGGGTAGAAGCAGGACCTGGACCCCGCAGGGCCCCTCCCCCTTAACTCCCTCGCCGGGCTACCCCGGCCCAGCCACCCTCGGGGGCTCCGGCCACCCAAATCTCCCCGCCGCGGCCGGTCCCTCCATCCGGTGGCGGGCAGCGGGGGTCGGCGGTGACTCACCGGAGGGCCGGCGGCCGGGGGGGCCGGAATGCGCTCACTTCCTCACCACGCGCACCTGCCCGGCGCCGCTGGAGCGCCGCCCGGCTGGGCCTCCGGCGGATGTTTTTTCTGTCCGCGCGCGCGCGCGGGCAGTGAGCGCCAACCGCCCCCTCCCGGCCGCGCCCCCCCCCCCCAACTGGCATCCCCAACGACCGCTGCCCCAAGAATCACAGAATTGGGCCCTACTACTGACATCCCCAACACACAAGCACACACACACAGCAACCACAAGCGTGGACTCCGACCCCAAACGGCTGGAGACGCACGCTGGAGCACACACACCAGCAGGAATGCAAGTGGGTTCAACCAACACCTTCCCGACACCCACCGCCCCACAACTTCGGAGAGAGGGATCCTGGCTCAGCCCCAGCCTTTCTTTCCAGAAGCCCCCTACTCCTGCCCATATGCCTACCTTATCTTCATTACACGCGGCTCTCACTTCGGTCCCCATTATCTCACACAAACCAATTCCCACTGGGCCCCCTTTGCCTTCCAGCATCAGCATCAACTTCAAGCTTCCCAGCTTCCCAGTCGTGTCTGCCCCCTACTGGGTTGGCTCCAGGTTGCAGGAGCAAAAGACTGGTCCAGACTTTCAGGGTGTCAGCAGGACCCCCTTCCCCAGAAAGGCAGCAGCAGAGCTACTGACCACTGACAAGAGGTCTGGGCCCTTGTGCTAGAAAGGCCTTCTCCTCCACCTCCTCCAGCCATGTATCCCACACACAAGCCTGTATCAGGGCACCCTGCTTCAACCATGAGTTTCCTTTTTTCTCTTGGTACTCCTCTGAAACAGAAAGGGTATCAGACCTGACTAGGGTGACCATGTGGTACAGTCGGCATCTCCATCCACTTAAGCTCTCTACTGGGAAGAGAACAGATAGGGAGTCTGAGGTGGATGGATGAAGTTGTTTCTGAATGGTCAAGAGCTGAGGCAGGGTAGCCCTCTAAAAAGCTCAGCCAGAAGTAGTTGTAGCTGATCCACTGGGTGACGGAATGGGAGTCTTGAAGTAAAAGGGACTGGAGACTTAGAAGGAAAAACAGAATGTCAGAGTGATCGGCCCTCTGCATAGGAGGGGAACAGCTAGGATAGGGTCTTTGGAGTGTGGCAAACTGTAGCAAAGAGATGGCCAGCATTTTGGAGTGGTCAGAAAAAAAGAACTTGAGAGTTCACATGAGTGGGGATGGGACACAATGGATCAGAATCCTAATGTGAAAAGCAGGAGTCCCAAAGTTAGCTGGAAGGATGAGAAAATGACACCTCTTCCCAGGGCAAAAGTGAGGGTACTGACCTAGGAAAAGTGGGTTTACCAGCAACACTGTTTCTCAAACTGGAGGTGGTAAGGACAACATGGAACATAAATGTGAAAAGGGCGGAAGTCTGTGGTAGGAGATAGCAGCCCCCAACAAAAGCCCTCAGCAATGCAGAGCTGTTCGAAGTGATTCAAACAATGAACATACCTATTTTGTCTCTGAGCTCTAGCACCAATCACAGGAGCTAATATTTTCTGAGGGCCATGTGCCAGGGACACTACTAACAGCATTACATGCATTACCTCATTGAAAGCCTCTTAACAATCCTATGAGTTAATATTACTATCCCAATGTAAAGATAAGGAAACAGAGAGGTGAAGTGGCTTGCCCAAAGTCACACAGTCTCAAGTAGAATCAGGATCTGAATTCAACTAGTCTGACTCTATAACCTATGCTCTTAATCACCCACCTTGGGGGTCTCTAGAACCTGCAGGAAACCCAAAAGAGGATGTCAGAGGATTCCTCAATTCTCATTCCATAATGTACAATAGGAAAGAGGGGTACCTCTGTGAAACTGCACTGACTCACACCATCAGGGCATTTAAAGATGTTCCTCTTTGAAAGAACCATCCCCAGATATGGGAAGATCTTATATCTGCTGTATGTTTGGAGGTATGGAACAATGCATCCTCAGTATGCCTGTGGAAAAGAGACACCTACCTCCCCATCTCTGTGGGGCAGCCATGTCTCTAGGATACTTCCGGGAGACTCTGCCCTAGGGTCTGAGAAACATTCTGCACTCCAGGAGCCTGTTCGCTCTCCTGGAGCCTCTGGCTGTCGCACCCTACTGCAGCTCCTTGGTTTGGCTGGGGCACAGGATTAGCCATCCCCAGGAAATGCCTCCCTCCGGTCCAGGCAAGGATCCCAGCACACACACCCCTGGAGTGTGTGTGTTGGGGGGGGAATGCTTCCTTCTCTCCAGGTCAGGGAAGAGATGTAGGGACCACCTGGGGGCCCTCACCCCTCCCACCTCCTTGCTGGGGAAGTGCCCAATCCAGTGCCCCTTCCATGGCCACCTCCCTCCCCAGCTGTGCCGGGGCATGAATCAGCTCTCACAGCTTGTTAAAGCTAGACCTCTTGTTTTCATGCCCTCACCTCAGGAAACAGACTTACAGCTTTTCCAGCTCTACTCAGCAGGGGGCCAGGGTCCTCACTTTATAAACATCCCCAAGCCTGCGAGAGCAGAGGGCACGGAGATGGTGTGAGACAGGAGCCCAGGGGAGAAAGAGAGAAACTAAGACCCAAGGAGAAAAACAAAGAAAAGCCAGAGACAAGCCAGAGTAGCCTGAACAGAGACCAAGAAGGGATCGCGAGGGCTGTGCACAGGAATGACCCTAAGGATGCGCTGGACTGGACAGGCGAAGGGGGTCCTGGGAAGTTGGGGGATCATCTGCTTGGTGATCTCTCTGCTCCTCCAGCAGCCAGGAGTCCACAGCAAGTGCTACTTCCAAGCTCAAGGTAAAGCTGGGGGAGGCATTAGGAAAGGACAGGGACAGAGGGAGCTGGGGTTTAGAGATGATCTGGGGGGGCTTAGAGATGATCCTCTATCGGAATACCCAGACTCCCCCCAGCTCGGAAACAGGAGAGACTAAAAATGGGGGTGATATGCACTTACTTTCTCCCACTCCAGACCACAAGCAATCCTGTCTGCCACCACCACTCCCAAACACCCTAATATTTCCTATTCTTCCCTAGCCCCCTGCCACTATGAAGGGAAGTATTTTACCCTGGGTGAATCTTGGCTCCGCAAGGACTGTTTCCATTGTACCTGTCTGCATCCCGTCGGTGTGGGCTGCTGTGACACGTGAGTGACCGAAGATGGCCATAGAGAATGGCTCTGACATAAGTTACTGAGGGCTGGCCAGGGTGTAACCATATTGCTGTGATGTGAGAATGAACAGAACAGAGGTATGAGGCTGGCCGAACCTGAAGGTACCAACAAGAGTTTGAGAGATAAGGCTGCAGGCTACAAAGTGAGGGGATGTAGGGGTGGGTCCGGAGAGAAAATATTTCTGCTATGAAATGAAAAAATCCATATATGGTAGGCGAGAGCTTAGTTAGGGGACCAAGAGGGCACTAAAGATATGGGAGGAATGCTGGCAGAGAGCAAGTGTGGGGCAGGGATAAAGATGGCCCTTCACTGTGCTGACTCCTTTCCCATCCTTTGGTTCCCCAGGTCCCAGCATCCCATCGACTTCCCCGCGGGCTGTGAGGTACGTCAGGAGGCAGGAACCTGCCAATTCTCCCTGGTGCAAAAATCTGACCCTCGGCTACCCTGCAAAGGGGGAGGGCCCGACCCAGAATGGGGCTCAGCTAACACCCCTGCTCCTGGGGCTCCTGCTCCCCACTCCAGCTAAACTCAACTGATCACCCTTCTGCTGACTGCCCACTGCTGCTGCCACTTCCAGGGAAACCACTAGCAGCTGCCAATTTATTCTGAATAAATAAATTAATGCTACAGCTGAAAGCCTGCCTCTCATTGTCCGTGCCATTGGACCCCATGTGGGGAAAATGGGCCCTACTAGAGTCCAGGTGCTGAGTTCTTAGTATCCTGAAGAAAGTGTCACGGTGAGCCAGTTTCAGATGGTTATGGTGCTGGTGCTGGGGCCTGGGGCTGCATATGAGGCCAGGGTAGGGCTTGTGGGCAGCACCTTGATGGGGAGGTCCCAGCTGAAGGTGTCTACAGGCACTTGCTCAGGCCCAGTCCAGGTGACAGGCTCAGGCTGTTCCAAGGGAGGTAGAAGCACTAAACCTGGTTCTCGCGATGTTACAAATTCAAAATGCAATCGCCACTTCAGGGACACTGTGGAAAAGAAAAAGATAAAAGGCAGAGGCATTAGAAGCCAGGAGTAAAAACCAATGCAGGATGTGGTTAGTGAATGAGGAAAAAAAGCGGTATTCAGGAAAAGAGGGAAAAGTCACAGGGCTAGAAATCTGTTAACTAGAAATGTGACAATCAGGATAGCAAGGTCAAGCATCTGATAACCATAGCGTGGACTTGGTAGCTTGAAGTAAACATGCTGCGGAATCAGAGATCGGTGTATCATAGGGTCTCAGTGGGTAGGGGAAGGAAGGATACCTGCAAAGCTCTTAAGAGTTTAAGTGTTGGTGCATCTAGGACACAGGTTGAAGGTCTGAGAAAGTGTTAAGGGTCAGAGGCTGGGTGTTAAGGGTCAGAGGCTGGCCAGGAGTTTGTTAGGAATCAGGACCCATTACACTCTATGGAAATACGGCATTTTACTCTCTTCCCCCCTCCAATAAGGGTCAGGATCTCACCAACGGCTGTGCAGAAGCCTGGGGTGGAGCTGAGAGGGATGGGGAGAGAGAAGCTGGTTCTGGTTGTATGCAGGCAGGACTCCTGGTGCCGGGCATGAGTCACATGAGACACAGAGGGGACACCCCCCGTCCTGCGGCGCCTCTGGTACTCGGGCTGTACACGCTCCTCAGTCTGTAAGCTTACTGAAAACTGGGAGCAAGAAGAGAAGTAGGTGGTAGCAGGCACTGAGAAGTGCAGACTTTAGATGAGAGGCTTGAGCCCAACCTCAAGCTGTTTTACCAAAAGGACCCTGGGTGACCACACTATTCACTTCTATATACCACCCCTCTATGCAGGCCCTTCTTCCTCCCTAGCCCTCCAAGCCCAGCATCCCAAAAGCCCCTTTCCTTCTCACCTGCAAACAAGCTACAGTTCCTTCCCCTAAGTTTAAGGTCCCCACCACATCCTCGCCGAGTCTGTATACAGATTTGAAGATGCCAAATGTCCCAACTTTTCCTCGGCCATCACTGATATTGTATAGATCTGGGGAGAATGGGACACTATAAGCCTGGAGTCCACACTGGGGAGTACCTTGGGCTGGGAACCAGAGGCCCAAGGTGGGGCTTTTCTTTATAATGTGGGATATGTAAGTGAATCCTCAGAAGTACGTGGCAATTAGGAAAATCTGTAATACTATGGGGTGGGGGTGGGGTGGGGGGGGTGGCAATTGTGAAAGGATTCTCACGGAGGCTGCGGCAGGATGTGGCAGCCATGAGGCGCTCCCCAGCCAGCTCAGCTAGCCATGAATCCTTCTTCCCACCTTCATCCTCCTCCAAGAATGGACTAGATGGGGCTACAGCCTCATCCTGGGGAAACCGGACATCTTGAAGGCCTACAGAGAGAGTAAGTGGAAAGCAGTGCTAGGAGGGAACAGACAGTAGAGGTTAGGGTTTTAGACTCCAACCTGTGAAAGCTGAAGGTAATGGGAGCCATGCCCCAGGTACCCATCTTAACCTATTGTCTAGAACCCTCCCTCTCCAACCCCTTCGCACCTTTACTAAGACCAGGAAGCCTCCCTCCAGCCCCCCTCACAAGCCCTCTACAGATCATTTCCAGAAATCCTTACTTACCTGTCAGCACAAGAACCCTCAGAGGAACCCTGAGTAAAGTGATGGGTGAGTTGACACGCTGGCAGCCAATGGTCAGTTTGTAGACATACTTGACTGACTGACCCCGAAAGGAGGGTGGTCCCTCTATGGGCAGCACTTCACTGTAGGAGTCTGGTTGGGAAGTAGTAGTCAGGGCAGCCAGAGGCAGCCAGAGAAGTCCTCCCTCCAGGAGCCTTAGAAGGCAATCCAGGGGTGGGGAGGAGGCAGTCACTCACATGATTTGGACTCTCCGGGATCTAGCCTCAGATCACAGAAAAGGATTTTTGGTGGAGTGGAAAGGATACACTGACCTCTCTCACCTAAAAGAGATTAAAAAGACTGCAATTTATTTTTATTTTCTTTTAAAGATTTTATTTATTCATTTGGGACACAGAAATACAGAGAGAGACAGCATGAGCAGGCGGGAGAGGCAGAGGGAGAGGGAGAAGCAGGCTCTCTGCTGAGCCAGGAGCCCAATGTGGGCCTTGATCCCAGGACCCTGGGATCACGACCTGAGCCGAAGGCAGACGCTTAACCATCTGAGCCACCTAGGCTGCAGCCACCCAAAAGACTGCAATTTAATGACCCCACTGTCCAGTACCGGATGAAGCTAGCACAGCAAGTAGGGGCAGTAAGCACTGCCAACAAAGGGCAGCCCAAACTAAGCCACCCCCCTTTTCTTGTTTTAAGATAGGACCAGTCTTAAACCCCCAAAGTAACAATTACATTCCCCCTCATCTCCAATATGACAAAGACAGGAAGGACCCACTAGAACAATTTTACAAATTTACTCTCAGGTGACAATGACTCCCCCTTCTAAAGGCAAATGCCCTTCTCTAACCTCGGTGCGGTAGAAAGACAGTCTGGCTCTCCGGCTGGACGTCTGGCTGACTGGAGTCAGGGGGAGGTAGTGCTACTCGACTCTCACTTGCATGGAACTGGCAGTGGATTTGGGCACTGGCCCAGGCCAGAGCCTCACTATGGGAGGAGGAAAAGAAGGCATCAGAGGGGAGTTGCTGACCTCATAAATGCTCTCCCAAGCTCCCTAACCCCCCCCTGAGGAGACCAACACGGTGAGGTGGCTGTCCTAGGAATCAGGGAATCTAGAATCCCAAAGAGAATCCATTAAACAAAGAGAAGTATACTATGGGTAAAAGTGGGAATGGGGGAGGAGGGAGGAAGGGAGGGTAGAGGGTTCTGTCAACCACATCTTTTGTTAAACAGCCCTTTCTTTCCTACAATGAGAACACAATGAGCAAGAAGGTGGTGGCGCAGCTACAGGACAACCTGAGCTCTGGCTTAGCACTACAGATACCAGACTTCCTCCCAAAAGAACCACCTTCTTCAGTAGCTCCATCCCCACCTGGATGCAGAAGTGGCCGTGGGGGGCAGGGGGTTGGTGACCGTCACTACACACTCCAGCGCCTCCCCCGCCAGAAACACAGGACCTCGGCTCAGCTCTGCTACCACTTCAATCATGGCAGCTCCGGAATCAAATCTAGAAGGAAACAGGTCTGGTCAGAGGTCAGTACCATGGCAGGGAGGGGCGTCTGCGGCGAGTCTGGGGGCGAGGACAGAGGAGACGGGCGCTCACCACCACGGTGTCTGAGGGAAGCTCCTGGATTTGGGGTGCGGGAGGTGGATGGGAAGTACGGGTGGCAGCTGACTCAGTAGGGGGAGGTCGTCGCTCGGGCTCCCAGTCCCCCGCCCCTCTTAACGCCCACTTAGTCCCCTTACCCCCCCTCCCGGAACCTCCAAACCGGCCTCCGCCCCCCTCCCGCCAGATTCCAGGTCCCAGCCCAAGGCCACAGCCCCCCGTCACCTCGTGCCCCAACCCCGGGCACCTCGCACGGTCGAAAACGGGGTCTCGGCACACCGAGGCCCTCACCTGCCCGCCCCTGCGGACCCGGCCAAGTACGTGGCGGCGTCCGCGGCAGAGGCGGGACTTCCCTTCAGGCCCCTTCCCGACCGAGCGCCTTCCGGCCGGAAACGCCCGCCTGGCCGGACCGGAAGGGGCTCTGGTCGTCCCGCCGCCTGGGGTCAACTTCCCACGGGCTGGCACCTGGGCGCAGGGGCTGTCCCAGACACCAACCGGCGGGACCCGGCGCCTTACCCAGGGAGGGGCCTGGCGCCACGGCCCTTGGACCGGGCTGAGGCTGCCGCGAGCTCCTAGGACGGTCCCGGGGGCGGTTCCTTGCGGGCTGGCCCCCGGGGCTCCTCCCCTTTCCGCGGACTCGGTAGCTCTTTGGCCGGGCAAACTAATCACCGCGGCCCAATGACGACGAGGCCCGACCCTTCCCTCCCAGGACCCAGAGAGACGACCGAGGGGGAGTCCGAAGCGGCTTCATTGCTGTCGCCGCCGACGCCGCTGCAGCAACAGCTTCCAGGCTCCCCAGAGACGCTAGCTCACCGCGGCTTTCCCCAGCGCCCGGCCCTCCGAGACGACACTTAACCACCACAGCCGCCCGCATCTCGACTTGGCTGGCGAGGTATTTTGTACCAAAAGACTTGGGACCCGGGACCATCGAGGTCGTGGGGACCCAGGATCCAGGAAACATGGGAACTGGAGTCCCAGCCTCGGAGCAGACTAGGTGTGCCAAAGGGGAGCCACAGATTTATTGCCCTGAAAATGCTGGAGGCACTGAGGCTGGGCAGGTTACAGACTTCGAGAGCTCTGAGGACAATCGACCCCAAAGTGAGCCAGGCTACAGCAATCCGGAGGATTCTGGGCAACTGATGGCATCTTATGAAGGTAAAGCTAAGGGCTACCAGGTGCCTCCCTTTGGCTGGCGCATCTGCCTGGCTCATGAATTTGCAGAGAAGAGGAAACCCTTTAATGCCAACAACGTCTCCCTAAGCAACCTGATAAAGCATCTGGGCATGGGCTTGCGGTGAGTAGATCCCATTGCCTAGAGTACCTTAGGTTTCACTTTGTTCCAGGTGAGAAAGCAGGTGGATGCTTTGTCCCAGTCAACTGGCCCCCCACCCCCAACATATTCTAAGCCTGTGGTTTTGCGGGGTGAGACCGGATCACATCTCTGCAACCCCCTTCCTCCCAGTAACTTACTTCCTAGTAGGAAAGAACAGGAACATCTGGGCCTGTAGTCAGCCTTTCCCATTTAAGCTCCCTCTCACATACTCCCTCTTTCCCAAGACCGCCCTTTGGCATTTGCTATACTTTGTGGCAAGGTGGGAAAGGATAGTCTGGTGGCGGCTGCTTACTGACACAATGTTGTTATATTCAGGAGGGGGAAGGAAGTTCTCAACCCTGATTCCCCTGAGCAGCTGGGGTACTCTCCTTGCCTCATTTAGGCATACCACATTACGTTTCTTTCTTCAAGCTTTAGCTCCAGGGAGTGGATGACAGCCTGCCTGCTCTCACCCCAAGGAGAGGGTGTGAGAGGTGCTGTTCACTCTCTTCTGGGATAGACAATCCCTGATATAAAAAGCAAAGAAGACCTCTGGCCAGAGAGGCACTGCCATAAGTGTCCCCAGAGCTCTCAGTAATAACAGCCTTCCAGAGCCTGCACAAATGTGCTTTCCCCCAAGGGTTACAGACACCCCAAGCACTTACCCTGAGCTGTAGAACTCCTTTAGATCCCTACAGATCCCCTCTGAGTTCAAAAGCTAGTGATGAGGAGCCAAGACCTATTAACAGGAACAGGTGGATATGAAGACAGAAAGCATCACCCTGAGGTCATCCTGAGTCAACCCACACTGTAAACACAGCTGGGGATGGAAGCATAAAGGTTGGAAAACCCGGCCCTAACAGCCTCTAAACTAGGGGATCCTTCCCTCTCAGTCAGTGCTGTAGGGCTGGGTTGGGTAGCCCATTTACCTAACCCCAGCTCTCAGCAGTGGGAAGGGTCTGGCACTGCGTGGGTATCTGGCTCCTTTGCTAGGTCCTGTGGGTGGCCTGTACCAGAGAACAATCATCCCTACAGGCTACTGCAGAAACTGACTCTGCCTAACTTTGACCCAAAAGCTTCTGGGTCAAAATAAGATCGAGGGCTAGAGTGCTGAGAGAAGCACACTGGGGTGCATGTGATAGGGACCTTGAGATCAAGAACAAGTGGGCATCCTAGCCCTTCGGTCCCTAAGTATGAGCTGTGTCAGAGGCCTGAAGCTGTGCTCAGCCCCCTGGACCTTGGCTCCACATGCCAGGATAGGGTGGAGATCACCGACACAAGGCTTTTGGAACAGGATGCAGTCCTGCATTGAGGAGAAAGCAGGGGTGAGACAAGGAACAATTCTGAATGATAATCCTTAAATTTGGGCTGACATTATGGAGAAGGCCAAATAGATCACGAATGGCCAGCTGCTAAGTTAAGGGAATTAGAGGTGAACCCTAAGAGGAAGCCAGACTGGGGTACTCTAATCAGGAGTTGCAGCAAACCAACATTCTCTTGGCCTCATTGTGGGAAGATCTCAATTTTGATTGCTTTCCCTTCCAGCTAGAGTCCATTCATTCAATAAGTATTTATTGAGTGCTTGTTCTATTCGAGATGCTCCTTTGTTCTGCCTATCTCCATATCTTGCATTTCTCCCTCACTGCCCTAATCCCCGCTGCACCCACCCTCCCTTCCCCAATTCTTTCTGGCCTCTAGTTTCAAAGTCCAGTTTACTCTAAAATGGCAGAGAAGACCTTGTGCCTTACCATCCTCTCATCCTTTGCCCTCCCTCCTCCTCCCCCTACTCCCAGAATGTACCTTTCCTATTCTCATTTCTCCTCCCCTTGCTTCTCTTTGTGTTCATCTGTCTAGTGCCCCACTGCTTGTACAATCATTGGTAAATTCAGCAAGTGTTTATCAACTGTAGACCACGTGCCCTGCCTGTGCTTGAAGCTGTGGGTAATCAACTAGTCTTTGTCAATAACCCTTTCCCCAAGGAATTTAAAAGTATGTCAGACTCACATGAGGAACACTTAGAAATAACAAGTGTCTGATTGGGCGTTCAGATAGTGTATGTACAGGTAACAACCATACCTGACACACATATTCCACTTGATGGCTTTCCTCTCTCAACCATTCCATGAAGTAGGGAGGACAGGAGGTACCCCATTTTGCAAATGAGGAAACTGAGGGTCAGAGGAGTTACTTACCCCAATTACATGGTTACAAGTGGCATGCTTGAACAATGGGTATAAAATAGCTGGGTAGGGAGGATAGTGGAATTGGGAGAGTCTGGTGGGGCAAGGGTTGCTTAGTGGGGATTTGTAGGATTTAAGATTAGAAGTTAGGCTGAAACAGATGTGTCAGAGCCTTGAATCCCAAACAGAATCATCTGTCTGTTGGACACAGAGCTGTGACAAGACCAGGAAAATGTAGGGATTTTTTTAGGTTTTACTAGGATATTATGAGAGAGCAGACTCAGAAAGCTTACAGTTTAGATGAACTTTTAAAAAAAATGTAAAAGGATATGCCCCAAAAAGTAAATACTGGTTGTCTATGGGTGGGATTTTTTTCCCTTCCATCTGGTATATTCTACAGATTTTCACCTTTCACAATCAGGAAGAAAAAATAATCATTTGGAAAGAAGAAATTTATCCCAGCAGACTGTGCCTATTGGGGGAGGGGGGTATAGTCGGGAAACCAAAACTGGCCCTTTCAGCACCTCAAACAAAACCTCCTAAGCTAACTCAAGCAGTGATAATAGAGTCAGAGGTGAGGCAAGGTCAGAAAGCTCCTGAGAGAGGAAACAAAGACAGTCCCATGCTGTGAGCTGGGGTGACTGGGAAGAGAAATAGAAGTGTTGAGAAATAGAGAGGAGGAGAGATTTGGAAGTGAAGGGAATGGGTCCTCTGCAGACCCATTTGATGGGAAGTTACAACTGGGTATCTGGAGAGAGGCAGCCCAGGAGGTACCACCCCCTGCCCCTTCCACTCACACTGCCTCTTGCTCCTCAGGTACCTGCAGTGGTGGTACCGGAAGACCCAGGTGGAGAAGAAGACACCTTTCATTGACCTCATCAATTGTGTGCCCCTGAGACAGATCTATGGTGAGCCTCACCCCAGCTCTGCTCTGCACAGAGAGGGCCCAGCCTCCGGGTCTACTGCAGAGCTAGGCAAAGAGGCTTCCAGCTTAAGCACGTTGCACTGCCCTATCCCCTGGGGTTTTCTTTCCCCAACCTTATTGAGCTATAGTTGACATAAAACATCATGTTAGTTTAAAGTGTACAATGTAGGGATGCCTGGGTGGCTCAGTTGGTTAAGCGTCTGCCTTCAGCTCAGGTCATGATCCCAGAGTCCTGGGATCGAGCCCCGCATCGGGCTCCCTGCTTGGCGGGGAGCCTGCTTCTCCCTCTCCCACGCCCCCTGCTAGTGTTCCCTCTCTTGCTGTCTCTCTGTCAAATTAAAAAAAAAAAAAAAACACAAAACTTTAAAAAGAAAAAATAAAGTGTACAATGTATTGATTTGATATTTCCGTGGTTTTTAGAGGGACTCATCTCTATGGTCTAGAAGTAAGAAATGAGCTTCGTTTCCTCTCGCCGAGCTTCACTGACTATCCTGATCTCGCTCTAGGTTGTCCTCTGGGCGGCATCGGGGGAGGCACTATCACCCGAGGCTGGAGAGGCCAGTTCTGTCGCTGGCAGCTTGATCCTGGAATGTACAAGCACCGAACAGTCATCGCTGACCAAGTAAGAACCAGCAGGTGGAAGAGAGGTCCAGAACAATATCCCAGGTCAGGAAGAACCTCTTGGCCCGTGTAGGATGTGGATGTTTGATGTGCACATGTGCACCTGGTTCACTCCAATAAGTATCTTAGGATGCTTTCCTTGTGCCCAGCCTTGTGCTAGGATGTACTAGGAATGAGATACTCCAAGGCTACACATTTCTGAAAAGCGTAAACAGACCCAGCACCTCTGTGCCCTCCAATTCTCTAGTAAATGCCTCTTAACATCCTTCATACTGCCCCAGCTCCACTAGCTCAGCCAGTACCTGCACAGAGGGTGCAGGGAATTCCCAGATCACTTAACCTAGTTG